GCTGACAGAAGCAGCTCCTAGGAAACAGGTGCAAGACTGAAGAACCTTTGGATTAATGCTGTGTGCATACTTGCTTGTTTCCCATCTGCTCAACCTGTATATTTGTGAATCATTTATTACAAGGTTACCATACTCTCCAGCATTCTTGCCTTGCAAAGAAACTGACCATATGAAACTTACACTTTCCATAGCTAAAAGTAGAAAGATTCATTAATTTCTTGTGTAACAAAATGACAAACGTTTTCTCAGGTGGAACATTTGCTTTTTAATAAAAGAAATGAAGTGACTAGTTTTATAAATAATTTGTTTCTTAATATATTAGCCATTAAATAGCATCATATACAGAAAACAGTAACAGTTACACCGTATTTGTTCATAACTATTCACAGGGGAATCACAAAACATAAAAGTGCTGACAAAATAAATCTTTGGTAGATAAGTCTAGTTAAAAACGCAAGTTGTACATTAATAGTAGGCAGATGCTATTTTCCCCCTTCTGTAAAATTAGGCAGGCAATTTTAGAACTATTACTACATGAAGTATAACTGTCACCATCCTAACAATAAATACCTGCCTTTTTCTTTTGCATTTAAACCATGGAATGAATAAATCTTTATTTGTTTGGTGTATTTGGAATAGCTTTAAATCATTAGGAATAAATAATACTACAGCGACTCTCAGAACAAACAAGGAATGTTGGTTTGATACCTAATTGAAAGGATTATAACCAGCAAAGTTATACAAAGGATGGAGTTATCAGGAGGTAGCATAAGCACTTAGAACTACTTCACTAGTTCTTTACATTTTAAGTAGTTTTTTCTTGGTCTTGAAAATATTAGAATCTCACATACCATTGTATTTTTCCACACATAAAGTTTCTAGACCCATATACCTACAGTCTTAAAAATGTGAGTACAGTGTATTTGGATAACCCTTTACTTTTATAGTGAAGTGATTATTCTCCAAGGATTGCATTTTGAGTACCTAAGAACACAGATTTGGGTCTATGTCCCCCTGAATTCAGCAGGATTAACTTTCAAGTAAACCTGTGTGTGGTAGGGCCATATGTCACTTAAAAGCATCAAGCAATCCCTGGATTCTCATACAAGTTAGATGTTACAGCTTCTTTATGGTTTGAGAAGAATGGAGTTACGGAATGCCTCTTCGGATGACCTAGCCATACTGGGATTCTCTTGTGTGGTCACTATGCAATGGAGGGAAGCTAGTTGTCCAGTTCCATAGGAGACATGTAAAAATACAGTGATTTATATTGCTTATTTAGCTTTAAAACAATTACTGGTTAATTTCCTTGGGCCTCTTTACAAAGTAACATTTCAGCCAACAGGCTTCAATTTCAGTTGAACAGAAGCCAAGTAGAAAGCCAATTGTTTGAATGAAATTGCTACTGATATCAGAACAAATCTAGTCAGAAGTAGATTTCTCTTGTTCTTCTTTAAAGCTCCTGTATTTTAAATATGTTTGGAATATCAGTATTATGAATATAGGTAGTCAGTGTATTGGATGTAGTGCTGGGTATCTGTGACTGCTAGTTTATTGCTTTTAATTTGAGTGATATATTGGCATTCATATTAAAATTTTGTTCTATTTTTGGAGATATATATAAAACTCCACTATAAAACTCAGAGTAGTTTTCTAAAAGAAAATCTGAATTTGAATAAACAGAGCTGAATGCAATAGCTTGGTAGAGATGCAACACTGCTAATCTCTTAACCATGATTAAGAAATTGGATAACAATTGAACACTCGCCCTATCCCTAGTTTTGCATTACATTTATGCTAATTATAACCACCAGGCTAAAAAGGGTTTCCATCTTAACCAGGGTTTAACCATCTTCAAGCCCTGGTTAAGAGAACTTGGTTAAAATTAGTACTGATGTCATCTTTAACCACAATCAGAGGTACAAAGCAGGAGAATTTGCACCAGAAAAGGAAGAAATGACGAGAATGCAAATGAGCACTTGACCTAATTCCAGTGGTTAACAGCAGAAACATTATGTCTGCACCATGCCAGTGAGCCTCTTAAACAGTACAGGCAGAGTTTTGTTCCTAAGAACATGGAAATTTGTCTTTAAGTTGAAATTGTCTGTACGTCTGGCCATATATAGTCAACCCTTCACATTCGTGGGGGTTAGCAGCACAGGACCCCCATGAAAGCAGAAAAACTATAAATATCTCTAGCCCACTGACCCACCCACCCACACTTACCAGTGCCTCCTCTTTACAGCAAGGAAATGCCAGAGTAATTTTCCCCTATGGGTGAGTGAGGCAGGAAGGCATGCTTTGGAGACCTCCCTCTCCCCCCTTTTGCTTTCTTTCCTTCTATGGTGATGCTTTGGAGGCCCTCCCTTGCTCCCCTTCCACTTCCTGTCCCATCCCAATTATTTGCCCTGGGAGTAAATTTGCCATAGATGACAATGAAAATCTTCCTCCCAGTGGGTGCTCCAACCCCCACGCAGACCACAATTCCAGGCTAGCCAGGGTTCAGAAGGTTGCAGTTTCATAAATAAAAAACAATCACATGGTTACTGGCATACATTGTTTGGCCCTGAATTTTATGTCTTATTTTAATCTGTTAAAAAATCTGCCTAAACTAATGCAAATTTGGAAAACATCGACTGGGTTCATACATTATATTAAATTCTTCTTGGGAATTTTAACCATGCATTCTAACCTATTTGTTTGTTTGTTTGTTTACTTTGAGCATGACAGCAGGATTGTGTGCCTCCTCCTCTCTCCTCCTCTTTTCCCCTCATCCTCCTGTAGAAGCTACAGCAGGAACATCAAGATGTCCACGGCTTCGATTTTTAAAAGGTCCCTCTCCGTCATCCATACTTGGAAAAGCAAGGTCAGGCCAGGCGCACATGAACTGGAAAAGAGCTAAAGGAGCAAAGGGTGCCTTCTACCCCACCCATCTTTTAAAGAAAAAACAATTCTGAAAAGAAAAAAAAAACTTAGTAGTGGACTACAAACTTGCAATCTGCAGTAGACAACCTGTAGACAGTAGACTGCATGGACACAATGTCCATGCAGAATTGCAAGTTTCTAGCTCACTGTTAACCATTTTTAACTCTTTATTTTAAAAGAGGGGTTGTATGGAACGCACCCTTTGCAGCAAAATCCCCAGGGTTTTTCAGGGGTGCTCATGTAGCCCTGGGTTCCTTTCACTTTCCCAAGTGTGGATAACACAAAGACACAAGGAACCCCTAAGAAAACCAAGGATCTGTTAAAAATATATTATGGAGGATAACCCCTTAATTATCCCTTCTTCCAAGCAGGATCCCCAGGGTTTTTAGGGGAAGCTAGGAAGCCCTAATTTCCCCCTTGGTTTTGCATAGCATACCCCCACAAGTGCATAGCATCTTGGGAAGTGGCAAAACCTGAGGGAGAGGTGCAAGTCTTGTGATGTAAAGGGATAAGCCTGCCTCCTTGCACGGGGCTTTTCTTAACTTTTGAAAGGCTCCCCTCTGCTTCCAGCAGGGGAGGGGGGAGCCTTTTCCAGCTGCCTCCAAGTACTGCTTTGGCCCTTTGGGGTGCTTGGTAAAGGCAGCCATCCATTAACCCTTGTCTAGAGTGACAAGTCTTTCTGCCACGCTTGCCAAGGCCTCTCTGGTCTTTTGACTTGATTGCAACTGAATATCAATACAGAAAAGTAGGCTGCATATGTGATCCTATTTTGATTTCATTATAGGTATATCCAAATGCAAACCTGTTGGGTTATAAAATGTAAATAGCAATGGAACAGTTTCTTTCAATTGAATTCTGCTTTTCATTGGAAACTCTTCACTGGTACTTGATTAATTTTTCCTCATTAAATTTAGATGGTGTAGTCTTTGTGTTTAATTATGCGTCGATTTGATTTACAGGCAGAATTGAGAATCTTATTCCAAATGCACAAATCCAATTTAAGTATTTACTCCTTCTGGAAAATAATCAAAGTTGATTCACACCTTTTAAGATGCACATCTTTGAAACCTGAAGAAAGTTACTCCAAATTACTTCTTTGGACAATGTTTTACAAAATTGGAGCAGGTGTCCCTGCCTACTCATATATTTTCACTATCCAATATAGAAAACTTTTTTTGATGGGATTTTATCTAGTTTTCCTTCTGACATAGGCTGCAATCAGGAGGAAAAACAGGCTAGTAAAGGGAGTGAAAAAGTAGTGCCAATCTTAAATCATTTTGTACCTAAAGCAAAAAATAAAACATAAAATAAAATAAAATAGTCTCTGCTCCAGAGGTCATTTTTTTTTCCAAATGGTGTAGGCAGACAGAGACCGAGAGCAATAGGATGGGTGTCATGTCTGGAATTTGCTAATAGAAACAATACTTCATGTTGCTTTAGAGGAGTACTTTTAAAACAGTTTAAACTGAAGATGAGTTAGGATTTTTGCCCTGCTAGAGCCCAGCTTATAAATTAATAAGTACTGGAAGGGCGGGCTCATACAGCCCTCATTTCCACCTCACATCTCCCAAAATGTGTGATGTGATGACTTCACACGTGCAGCTGTATATCTGGTGGCCCATTTCATGTTTTTTTTTCCTCCTAAGAATGGGGATACACACAGAGAGAAAGACTACTCACCTCATTCATTACAGGAGGACAGGGAGGGTCAAAGACATACCTATATGAACAGGGCCTAAAAATTACAGGGATTTTCAACCCCGTAGATTTCAGCTGTGTGTCATGGTAAAAGGCAAGTGATCCATTGGTGGCTTTCTGATGGCCATGTCAGTCCTTGACTTTGAAATCAAAGCACTTAGTGGCAAGTTAAATTGTTGGAATCCTGATTAAATTCTAGAAAATGAATATTCTTGCTTTAATCATTGAAAATTACCATCTTCAAGGAAGTGTTTCACACAAAATACACTTGATAAAAGAGCAGATAAATAAATACTGTACATAGGCAAACAACCCACAACTTATATAAAGGGAGCTATCAAATGACTACCAGGACTATGACCCTGACTTGTGGCTTATCACGGAGAGGAAGTCTCTGACCAGCACTCTGGAACGCTGCTGCTTGTGTTGGGAGAAGGGACCTCAGAGTCTTCAATGAGAGTCAATTCTTCCATGCTTTCCAAGCTCGGACTTTGCTGCAACAGCCCTAGTATGCTTCCCCGCGGAGTAACCCCTGCCTGCTGCAGGCCTTGCTCCCCAAGCACTTTCACAAGGAAGTTGATGTACCTCATGGCTAAGCGAAGGGTTTCATTCTTGCTGAGCTTTTTGTCTGGAGGATGGGTAGGTATGAGCTTTCTCAGCTTGGCAAATGCACTGTTGACATTCTGTTGTCTCCATCTCTCCCTGCTGTTGGTGAAGATCTTTCTGGTCATACTTAAGACTGGCAGAACTAGAAGAGGAAGATGACAGGAGGGAAAGAAAATTATAAAGCACATAATGAAAGGGCCAACTGAATTGCAACTATGGAACTTTCTGAACCTGATATTTGTTTTTTTATAGTCCCCAATGTCGAAGCCTTCAGGTGAGAAAAAAGATTCTGAAGAGCAGAGACATGGAAAGGAGATTCCAGACTTTTGTGCCAGCACACACATGACCCTCATGCATGCACAAGTCAGGACCTTAGCCAGTAGTCCCATTATAATCAAGTCATAATTTTTTAAACTCACCCTGAGTCACAGGGTGTTATCAAGTGGGTCTACTAAGTTTCTGAACACACTTGGAGAGCTGGTCGGCAGCAATTGCATCTGCCGAGGGGTGATCCTGTTTGAAAAACAAAAGACTAGTACATGGCTTCATGTATATCACTTGAACTTTTTTCAATTCACTACTTGATTGTACTTGCTGACTAGCCTCTGAACATGTGAATCATAGATGAAAAGCTTTGTGTCTGGGGTGATATGCAAATGTGGAGCACCCCAAAGCTCTGGGAGACAGTAAATTACTGAAGGTATGCCAGGTATTGAGGAAGATGTACTAGAAAAACAAACACCATGTGGGGAATCAAAAGACCTATGAAACTCGCAGCATAGACTGTTTTAACCTGGCACAGGTTTAGAGACTCTAAAGTGAAAACATAACTTTTCAAAAAGAAGAAGCCACTCTATTTTGCTTATGCGTCATTATATGCCCCTGAAATGCTCCAGTGGACAAAAGGTCACTGGCCTCCCATTGACAGATCACTTCAGTGTAGCAGCATTATGTGTAAAAGGACAACCAGAGCTGTCCCTTGTCTTTTCTTTTGCACTCTTCTTTTGTCAACAGAAGCCCTGTGAGTAAATAGTGAGCTTTGTGAGTTCTTCTATTGGATGGCATGTTAAAAAATATATCCTTATATCTCTGACATTTGTACAAGATCAGTAAACAGTAGAGCCCTCTCCAGCCTGGCAATCCTTTTTGAAGAGCTGGCATTGCTATTTCAGAGCATGGGAAAACATTAAAGTGAACTCCACATGCAGTTTACTTCTGTGTGTGTACATTCATAAGTCATATTGTGTTCAGTTGGACTTGTCCACAAATAAGAATTGCAGAATTGCAGGTTTAAGTCAATTTGCTTCATCTTAAAATGTATTTCTAGTTTAATATTCCAAACAGAAATCTCTACATATTCTCTAATATAGCAATTAATCTTGAGTTACAGTGGCCTGATTCAGATAACTGGCTTTAGGTCTTATTTGAAGAGGCCCTCATGGCTCTGCTACTTCTCCCTTTCAAAGGCCAAAGAAACTGTAAAGGTTAGGGTTTGCACAGCAACAGGTGTCTCTGTTAGATGTAAGGCTGATCCATTCAAACAAGCTTTTTGTGTTTTAAGAATTTTGTTGTGCCAGGAGTCATAGGCTGGGTTCAGGTGCAATGGAGACACATCATGGATGAATTAATTTGCTGCAGCATGTGCCAGGTATGAACAGTGGCAAATTCATTATGCAACCACTGATCATAGGTTGCTCCATAATGGGTAAACCTGGACACTAAACAACCCAAAGTCGTTGGGTTTGTCTATCATGGAGTAACCTATGATTTGGTCAATTGGGGATTGTAAACTGAAATCCAGAACAACTTGCACACCATGGCAAACTGTGATTTAATTAATCCATATTTGCTGCCGTTGTATGTAAACAGACCCAATACACACATAATATGTCATAAAATGGGCTCAGAGATGGAATATTGGATTAATGCTGACTACAATGTATTCTCTGCCATTAACATTTCTAGAAGCAGGTTGGAGCTGCTGACATCCAGAGATACTGCCCTCCAGTGTTGAAAATGATTTGATTTGTACATGATAACTATGTTATATTTAGTCCATGGTTAACCCAAGGCATGTCTAGATGATGGAACAAACCATAATTTGTTTTCTCAAATCCTCTGTTTCCCTTTCCCTCCCTGTATTCTAAATACATTTGCAACAGTGTGGTACTCACATGTAGAATAGCTGTGTTCTTTGATCACTCTTGTCCAATGCCTCTGTACTTTAGTAAAACAACCCATAGACAGCCCATAGTTCTGGATTCACAGATAATGATAATCCATGATTTAAATAACCCAACATGAGCCTATGGTTCTCTTTCTAAGTTGTTGTAGTTAACAAACCATGATGCGATTATATGACATGGCACAACAACCCAGAATACAGTAACATATCAGTTATAGGAGTTATATGATATGTCATTGTTTCTGTAGTGCATAGAATAGTATCCTAGTGCATACTATTGTCCATGGTCAAACATGCTTTATAAGATGAGATTGCTTAAGTTTTATCAACTCAGTTTCCATGAACACTGAAGCCCACTGGGTTTAAGCACAGTGGATTATGGAAAGTGCCAAACCACTTCTGAATTCAAGCCACAACCATGGTTCGTTGTGTTTTCTGAACCTGATGAGGGTGGGTTGTTGCCATGGTTGTAAGGTTGTTTAAGGGTTATGGATGGTTTTTTAACCATGCAGACAACCCACTCTCTCTACGATACAGGCATGACAAGCTGGAGCTGCAGTTTAAATAGTGAAAATTGCTGCCTGCATGTGTTGCAGTCCAAATTACAGTGAATTGCTTGGTTGTGCAATCTAGTTCAACCTAGCTCAAAACCCTGCAAACTCATTTTGACTGAAAGCAGCAACTGGACAAAGAAATTCATGTTAAAGTATATACTATGTGAAATAAATTGCTTCATCATTTTCAACTCTTATAAATTAATGGCAACCCAGAACAAAGTCTAGCCAAGCAAGTTATATTCCTAACCTAAAAGCCTTATTATCTCCCACTCAGAGCATTTTAAAAAATCCAGAAGGATCAAAATTAATATAGATCCTCCAAAGGAAACTGAACAAAAGATTAACCAAGAGAAGGAGGAACTGATGAAGATCTCTTTTTCAATAGCCATGGTTCTGGCAGCATCTGTATGTGAAAATCTATTCATGCTATTTAAGCAGTAGCAACCATGACAGTTCTTCACACAAAGCCTCATTTTTCCCAGGCATTCCAAGTTAAATAGCCATTCAAGCAGCTGTAGGAGTCACAGACTAGTGAGGAACTTCTGCAAAGTCTGGTGGGAATAGGAAGTTACAAGCAAATACAATTTATTCAGAATTTCAGGATATATAAATAGTTCAATAACTCAAATGGGAAAAGATAGAGTCTCCCAAAAGAAAGTTGGAATAGCAAAGATGGTGCAAAATTATTTACAGAAAAATGTACAATCAACAAGGAATACATACAACCACCTCTCTCCCTCCTTTATACACGCACAGGTTCTATGTATTAACAGTGAACTCATTTTCCAAGTGCTGAACTTTATTTATGCAGCCGAAACAACACCATCTAAATACAAGTGGAAGGAAACAGCAAGGTTAGGGGAACTCTTAGCTTTGAGGAAACAGAAAAAGTTCTTTGGGGAAAAACCTAAAGGAAGATGGGGCATACTCAGTATCCTGCACCAGAGCACCAGGTGCTGGAAGGAGAAGAGGGACTCTGAACCAAAATGCTGAATACTGCCATATTTTGTTGCCCATCCTAGTTGCTCCCTATCTTAGTAAAGCAGGATGTCAATATGTGGACATCATGAAAGGCTAAATGGAAGGTGTGGGGCATACCATTTTCTTTGTAATTTAGGAGACTTTCCAATATTAATAAATAACTAATTATGCCCAGAGATTGTTCAGGTAGCATTAGTTTCCCTACTCCCTGTTTGCCATTTCCCTCTAAATCCAGGCACAATCAGTGTGGTTGAGGATAAGGCACCTTGAGGGTGGTCTGCAAGGAAGGAATTTCTAAAATCACACCTGCTGTGTATCCAGAATGGGGCTTATTTATTCATAGGCAAAAGGGCAGCGTTTACAGGTGGGAGATAGACAAAATATTTACTCAAAAGCCACAGACTGGCTACAGGTTCTAGGGACCCTGACTCTGCGATCCTTTGCTATATATGTTTGTGACACTGACAGGCTTAGATGGAATTGGCCACCTCCATTCTCTCAGGTTAATTGTAACTGACAAGTGCCAACTGCCGGTCCCAACCACCATTTTGGCTGTGCTCCCTCCCCAATTCTGCTCAGGATGAGGGGTGCTTCCCTTGCCAGGCAGCTCTCCTCAGTCCAAGCTACCAAATGGACACAAACACATTTGATTATGGGGCAGAACAGGGTAGAAGAAGGCTTGAACAGAGATAGCCTCTACTCCTTGCAGAACCCCATCCAAGATTAGAAGAACCCTTCTACTTCCTACTTAGTCCCCACATCTTATCTAGCAGGTCATGAAGGTTGCATCCCCATACAACCTTCTAAGGTGGCCATGCATCCTCTTTTACAGTCTTCTATTTGAAAGGCTGCCCCGTCCAATTCCAGCTTTAAGATAAAGAACCATGAAGGTTGTCCTTCATCCCCTGGACAGTAGATGGTACATGGACTACCTGATCTCACAGGTTTAGGCTTCTGCACTACAGGTGCAGTGGTTTAAACTGCTGTGCTGCTGGGATGGTTGATCGAAAGGTTGCTGGTTTGAATCTGCACAACAGGGTGAGTTCCCATTGCTCCGTCCCAGCTCCTGCCAACCTTGCAGTTCGAAAGCATGAAAATGCAAATAGATAAAAAGGTACCACTTTGGCAGGAAGGTAACAGCATTCCGTGCACTTCGGTGTTTAGTCATGTCAACCACATGACCACGGAGACTGTCTGCAGACAAACGCTGGCTCCCTCAGCTAGGAAACGGAGATGAGCACCACCCCCTAGGGTCAGACATGACTGGACTTAACGTCAAGGGGAAACCTTCACCTTTTACCTTTACTACATAGAGACATACTGTACTTTTATTCAAGTTATAATAGTCATGTCTAAATTATTATCCATACATATATATTAACATATGTAATTTTATGCAGAT